CTGCCAGATGAGCTGGAAAGTACACATACTGGGATAAATGCAAGTGTGACTTGAGTTGTCTGGGACAGGGATGGGGTACAAGAGAAGGAAACGGGCAAAGAGAGAAGCCTGTAGTTGGCCAAGGGTGCAGGAGTGTTATATATGATCGCTCTTCAGGGAACTGGGCCTCCAGCCCACACCCCAGCCGCTCACTCAGCCTCCTTCTCCCCGAATTGGCTGTCCCTTCTCTGGAACACCTAAGCCTGACCCCACTCCCTTTCCCAGAACTCAGTCACCGGAGCCCCCAGCCTGTGGTTCTCTCCTAGGCCTCAGCCTTTCCTGCCTTCGACTGAAACGGCACCGTCTTCTAAGCCCTGGGGGCTTCCCCGGGCCCCAGCCCCGACCTAGAACCCGCCCGCTGCCTGCCACGCTGCCACTGCCGCTTCCTCTATAAAGGGACCCAAGCGTCCGGGCCCAGAGGCCCCGCACAGCAGGTAAGACTCTCCTGCCCCATCTCCTTGGCCTGCCGGTGGCTCAGACTCCTACCCTGAGGTGTCCTGCCCCTCTGCCTGGGCCCCGGCCCTCCTGCACCTGCTGCCTGGATCCCTGGCCTGCCCGGGCTGGGGCCTTGGTGGGTTTGGTTTTGGTTTGTTCCCCCGTCTCTGACTCTCCATCTGTCTGTCTGTCTCTGTCACACATTCTCTGTTTCTGCCACGGTCCCTCTCTGTTCCCTTTCTGTCTCCCTCTGCTCACCTCGGGGTTTCCCTGTCTGCATCTTGTCCCCTTCTCTGTCTGTCGCCCCTCTCTCTCTGGGTGGCCGTCTCCTCTGCAGGGCGGGCGGGAGGTCTGTCTTCCGCAGCATGCCCCGCCCCGCTCACTGTCTCTCTCCCTGCAGGTTCTCTCCCCATGACACCACCTGGACGTCTCTGCCTCCTGAGGGTGCGTGGCACCCCCCTCCACCTTCTCCTTCTGGGTCTGCTGCTGGCCCTGCCGCCTAGGACCCAGGTGAGGCAGCAGGAGAATGGGGGCTGCTGGGGTGGCCCAGCTGAATCTTGAGCTCTAGAGCCCCCCTCAACTCTGTTCTCTCTTAGGGGCTCCCTGGTGTTGGCCTTGCACCTTCAGCTGCCCAGACTGCCCATCAGCACCCCCAGAAGCATTTCACCCACAGCACCCTCAAACCTGCCGCTCACCTCATCGGTAAACATTCACCTGACCTCCCAGACATGTAGCCCCAGCTCTCCTCCTACCCCCATTTAGGGACACAACCATCCACCCACCTCCCCCCAACTTCCCCCACCCTCTAAACAGAGGCAGCCCACTCTCACCCCTCCCCTAACCATCCCCCAAGAATTCATTTGTCCAGCTCCTGCTTCCTCAGGGATTGAGACCTCCGACCCAGATCTTTGATCTCCCCCACCCCACACCCCATGGCTCTTCCTAGGAGACCCCAGCAAGCAAGACTCACTACACTGGAGAGCAAACACGGACCATGCCTTCCTCCAGCATGGCTTCTCTCTAAGCAACAATTCCCTCCTGGTCCCTGCCAGTGGTATCTACTTCGTCTACTCCCAGGTGGTCTTCTCTGGGCAAGCCTGCCCCCCCGAGGCCACACCCACCCCTCTCTACCTGGCCCACGAGGTCCAGCTCTTCTCCTCCCAGTACCGCTTCCACGTGCCTCTCCTCAGCGCCCAGAAGACCGTGTGCCCAGGGCCACAGGGACCTTGGTTGCACTCGATGTACCACGGGGCCGCGTTCCTGCTCACCCAGGGAGACCAGCTGTCCACTCACACAGACGGCGTCTCCCACCTACTCCTCAGCCCCAGTAGTGTCTTCTTTGGAGCCTTTGCTCTGTAGAACTTGGAAAAATCCAGAAAGAAAAAAAAATTGGTTTCAAGGCCTTCTGCCCGTTTTGCCTCCACTCTGACTGTCTCAGGGGTCACCACCACCTCTCTTTTGACCAATCCAACAATCTCAAGTCTTCCCCGCTCAAGTCACCTGGCTTTCAAAGAGGGAATTCTAGGCACCCCAGGGAGCTGCACCTCTCTGAGCCACCCCCATGTTCAGCCGAGGATGTCAGGCCTGCCTAGAAATTCCCGCCCAGAGCCCTGTGTCCCGCCAGTGAGGCGGAGCCTGGCGGAGGAGGAGCAGGCCCATGGGGGAGCTTGGGGGGCTATTTATGAAGGGGGAAATTAAATTATTTATTTATGGAGGATGGAGAGAGGGGAATAATAGAACATCAAAAGAGAGAGAGAGAAACAGGCCCAAGGGATGAAGAGCGAGAGGGCAGCGGCACCAGGCTGGCTGAGAGAGGGAAGCAGGTGTGAGGGACCGCGGGGCTCTCGGAGGCTGCGAGAGGCCCTGAACGCCAGCTGCATTGCCAGACACCCCACGCGGAGGCATCCGCACCTCGATGAAGCCCAATAAACCTTTTTTCTCTGAAATGTTGTTGGCTTATGTCTGTCTGTCCGGGAGGAGAGACTTTCCCAGTCTCTGTAAGGGAGGGAGGGATGGAGGCCTTGGAGAAGACAGAAGCTGTGGGCAGAACATGGAAGGGGCGCAGGGAGCTCCAAGGCTCCTGCGGGTAGGAGAGCCAGACAGCTGCAGGGAGCTGAAGGATGAGCTGCGAAGACAAGGAAAAAGTGGGCGTCTAGAGTCTGGAGGGGTGGGGTCTGGGGGCCCCTGGGAGATCTGGCCACATGTAGAGGCTCTGAGGAATGGGGGTTACGGGAGACCTCTGGGGAGAAGTAACCACAGCAAAGGGGAGGGGAATGCCCAGAACTACGGGGGTGGAGAATAGGGACCCCCACGGAAGACATGGCCAAGCAGAGGGCTCTGAGGGGTGAAAGGGCCTCCAGAACTAGGAGATGCAGGTGCATTTGAGCAGACATGGCCACACACTGGGGCTCTGAGAGGTGAGGGCTTCGCGGAGAAACTGAGGACCTGAGAGTTCCTTAGAAGGCAAGACTGAAACCAACAGTGTGAGTCCTAGGCCAGAGTGAAAGGAGAAGACCTGTCCCAGTGGGGTCTGTGCATTCCCAGGGCTGATTTCACTCCCCTGGGGCTGTCCCAGGCTTGTCCCTGCTACCCCCACCCAGCCCTTTCAGACGCCCGGGCATGCCCCCAGTGTCAAGCTGCCCTGCCCCCTGCTCCTTTCCCTGCAGGGACCCAGACACACAGGCTCAGGACCCAGCACAGCTTCGCCCCCACCTCCCCATCTCGTTTTCTCTGCCTTGAGGACTCAGCTTTCTAAAGCCCTTCCCATTTCTAGTTCTACCCCCATATGACTCCTGTCTGGAAATCAGAGGAACACAAGCCACAGATCTCGTCCCCAAAAGAAATGGAGACAATAGGCACTGGGGACGTGGGGCGGGGGGATGGGGTCCGGCCTCCACAGTCACACACACACACACACACACACACACACACACACACACACACACGAGTGATGGGCCCAGGAAGCCCGCCTCAGAATCCAAGTGGGGAGGGTAGGGAGTATCCTCGATGCCTGGGTGTCCCCAACTTTCCAAATCCCCGCCCCCGCGATGGAGAAGAAACTGAAACAGAAGGTGTAGGGCCCACTACCGCTTCCTCCAGATGAGCTCATGGGTTTCTCCACCAAGGAAGTTTTCCGCTGGTTGAATAAGAGCCTTCCCCACCACCCTACCCCGCCCTCCTCTTGCTCTGCGGGCATATAAAGGCAGCTGTCTGCACACCCAGCCAGCAGAAGCTCCCTCAGCGAGGACAGCAGGGGCCCAGCCAGGAGGGAGAGAAGCAACTCCAGACCCCCTGGAAATAGCCCTCAGAGCCATATCCCCAGACAAGCCGCCAGGCAGGCTATCTCCCTCTCACACGCACTGCCCCAGGGCGCCACCATCTCCTCTGGAAAGGACACCATGAGCACCGAGAGCATGATCCGGGACGTGGAGCTGGCTGAAGAGGCGCTTCCCAAGAAGGCAGGGGGGCCCCAGGGCTCCAGGCGCTGCGTATGCCTCAGCCTCTTCTCCTTCCTGCTCGTGGCAGGAGCCACCATGCTCTTCTGCCTGCTGCACTTCGGGGTGATCGGCCCCCAGAGGGAAGAGGTGAGTGCCTCGACAGCCTTCATCCACTCTCCCGTGCAGAGAGAAGTGGGGGAGAAAGAGAACTATAGAGAAGGGGTGGGCGAAAGGGGTGTGCTGCTGGGGAGGACGGGGAGGAAAAAACGTGGAGAAAGATGGGAAGGCAGAAAGCCACGTGGGGGAGATGGGGGAGGAGAGAGAGAAAGATGGGGAGACAGGATGTCTGGCACTTGGAAGGTGCTCAGAAAGTATTCGTGGGGTGAATGAATGAATGAGCAAGCAGATACACGCATATAAAGAGAGATGTGGGTGTGAGCAGCGAGATGGGAAACACACGAGTGATATGAATGAAGATGGTGAGACAGAGTTGTGGGAGATACAAGAGATCCGGAGAGACGAGGCGAAGAGAGATAAGGAAAGATGAAGACAGGGTGTCTGGCAGGGCAAGGCGCTTAGTGAAAGAGCTGTTGAATGCACGAATAGACGGATGAATGGAGAGAGAGAACCAGGCGTACCAGGGCAGACAGCGCACAAACCTGATAAGCGGCAGCTGTTTCTCATTTGAGGGTGACCCCCCCCCCTGATGCTAATCCCTCTTCTTCTCCCCAGCAGTTCCCCAGTGGCCTCCATCTGGTCAACGTCAACCCTCTGGCCCAGACACTCAGTAAGTGTCTCCTGATTCTGGGTTTGGGTTGGGGGAGAAGTTAGTACTGGGATGGAAGCAATGGGGAAAATGTAGAGTTTTGATTTTGGGGAGGAGGAATGAAGGTGAAAGTACAGGAATATTGTCTAGGAAGTTTAAGGGTCTCAGCTTTTTCTTTCCTCTTTCCTCCTCAGGATCGTCCTCCCGGACCCCAAGCGACAAGCCTGTAGCCCATGTTGTAGGTAAGAGCTCTGAGGACGTGTCTTAGGTCCTGGAAGGCTAGGATTTGGGGGCGCGCTCAGGGTGAGGGTAGATAGGCCTTGGAGACAGTGTGAGAAGGACTCACTCAGCTCACGGGGAGGGTGGAGGAACAGCGCAGGCCTTACGGGGGGATATTCAGAACCTCGGGGCCCGGTGGGATGTGGGCAGACAGACAGAGGGACAGGAACCGGATGTGAGGGTGGGCAGAACTTGAGGACCAGGATGTGGAGAGTGAACTGACGGGGCCACTGACTCACATCTCCCTCTGTCTCCCCCTCCCTCCAGCAAACCCCCAAGCCGAGGCACAGCTGCAGTGGATAAGCGGGCGTGCCAATGCCCTCCTGGCCAATGGCGTGCAGCTGAGAGACAACCAGCTGGTGGTGCCGTCCGACGGACTATACCTCATCTACTCCCAGGTCCTCTTCAAGGGCCAAGGCTGCCCTTCCACCCACGTGCTCCTCACCCACACCGTCAGCCGCTTTGCCGTCTCGTACCAGACCAAGGTCAACCTCCTCTCTGCCATCAAGAGCCCCTGCCAGAGGGAGACCCCAGAGGAGGCTGAGGCCAAGCCCTGGTATGAGCCCATCTACCTGGGAGGGGTCTTCCAGCTGGAGAAGGGTGACAGACTCAGTGCTGAGATCAATTTACCCGATTATCTCGACTTCGCCGAGTCCGGACAGGTCTACTTTGGGATCATTGCCCTGTGAGGGAGACGGACGTCCATCCTTCCCCGACGCCTCACCCCTCCAATTTCTTTATTATCCACTCCTTCAAGACCCCCTCATCCTCTTCTGGCTTAGAAAGGGAATTAAAGGCTCGGGGCCGGACCTCAAGCTTAGAACTTTGCACACCACCACCACCACTTAGAAACCTAGAATGCAGACATGGGTGGTCTGGACAATGGAGCACTGGCCACCACCAAGAATTCAAACTGGAGCTTCAGAACTCACTAGGGACCTAAGATTTTGATCCCTGAATTCAACCTGGGACATCTGGAATTTGGGCACCAGAGAGCCTTTGATTCTGGCCAGAACACTTTAGAACATCCCTTGAGAAGACCTCACCTTGGACTTGACATGAGTGGACTTCAAGCCTTTCTCTCTTCAGACATTTCCAGACTCTTCTCTGAGATATGGAGCCAAGCTCTCCTCGTGGGGCCAGCCTCCTCTATTTATATTTGCACTTGTGATTATTTATTATTTATTTATTATTTATTTATTTACTGATGAATTATTTATTTGGGAGGTCAGAGTATTCTGGGGGACCCGATGTAGGAGCTGCCTTGGCTTAGACGTGTTTTCTGTGAAAACAGAGCTGAACTATAGGCTGTTCCCACCTGGCCTCCTGGCCTCTGTGCCTCCTTTTGCTTGTGTTTTGAAAACATATTTATCTGATCCAGTTGTCTAAATAATGCTGATTTGGTGACAGACTGTCACTACATCGCTAAACCTCTGCTCCCCAGGGGAGTCGTGTCTGTAATCGCCCTACTGGTCAGTGGCGAGAAATAAAAGTTTGCTTAGAAAAGAAACATGGTCTTTCTTGGAATTAATTCTACATCTGCCTCTCCTTGTGGGTGGGAAGCACCCACCTTCAGCTCCCTGAAGCCCTCTCTTCAAGGGCATAAGATCCCTCAGACTCAGTCCCTTTCCTTAGACCCCTAGGGGCCAGGAGACCCTACATAAACAAAGCCCATTGGAATATACCCCCTTCCCCGGGAAACAGGAGCCTGAACCTAATTACCTCTCCCTCAGGGTATGGGAATTTCCAAGCCTGGGAATTCCAATCCCAGCTGGGAAAGTCCTGCAGCTCAGGTGAGATTTCCGGCTGCTGTTGCAGCCTGAGCGAGCTGGGGAGGAGCCACATTCTCAGGCACCTGAATCACAGCCAAGGGACTGGCATCTGGGCTCCAAATCACCCTGTCCTAACTGTGCAGCCTGAACCAGGCACTTGACTTCATCTATCAGTTGGAGACAGGAGCATCCACTGCACACGGGGCCTGTGCGAACAGGAGACCGAACCTCTGTGAGTGCACCTAGCCCCCACCTGGCGTGCAGGCACTCAGTGATCTCTGGCTCACTCCCTCATCTCCCCCAGCTGCTCTAGCCCCTTCTGTTCTCTCACTGGGTGAAATGGAAGAGGCTGAAGACAAAGAACAAGGAATAAGATGTGTTCTCAAACTTCCCCCAAGAAAAAGGGGAAAAAAAGATGTGGGTGAAGGACCCACCTGCCAGCTTGGTCTCATTGGCCTTTACGGAGAATGAGGGGACGGGTGTGAGGTAGGTGAACTGGAAAGAGAAAAGCACCCGCTCCCCCAGGAAGGCCTCTCTGGACACAAAGGCAAACAAGGAGTCAGAAGTGGAGCCCCAACGAGTGGCAGTCCGCACTGGGCTAAGAAGTCGGGCTTTCGACTGTTCCTTATTGGAGTAGTCCACTCTCTGCCATCTTTGAGAGTGTACAAAAAAAAAGAAGTTGGGCTTTCTTTCCAGCCCTGGGGTGCCAGGCAGGGGAAAACCATGTGGTATGCTGCTGGGGTAGGGTGACCCACTAGGGTGACCTAGATAGGACCTTAGGTCCCTCTGTGCCTTCTCCAGCCTGGGGCTTAAAGTGGGTCATGGGAGGTGGGGACTACTCACTCCAGGGGCCCCCACACTTGCTCACTTTTGGGAAGGGGGGCCTGAAGTGTGAACAAATGACGACTTTCCATCCCACCCTGGAAGGGACCCTGCGGCATCAGTTTTTCCTCCTCCCCAGACCTCCCTGGTGTATTCCGTCACCACAGTCTCCTCCCCTGTCCTCAGCTCTCTCCCCTACTTTCTCCTTCAGCCTCCTCCCTTGGGGCCCCATGAGCCTTGGTTACTGCTCCTCCAAGAGGAGCTGACCGGGGTGGGGGCTAAGGGGCCCTCGGGCAGCCAGAGGGGGAGAAGCACTGGGCCGCGCTGTGCTTGATGTCTCATCATTCCTCAGCAGTATTAGGGGTTTAACCCGCGGCTGGGCCTTTCTCAGAAGAGCTTGCCTTCCCCTGTAATGACCCCTCTCACTGTTGGGAAGGACCCAAGAGAAAAGAGTGCAGTGCACAGTCTGGTGGGGACCACGTGGCCCTGGTGATGTTTCGGGTTTAAGAAGATCCCCTTCTTTCTGCCCTCGGGTTGGACTAATTAATGCTGGGGCCTGGCGGTTCAGGGGTGGGGGTTGGAGGGACAGGCAGTCTACCATTCTTGGGAACAACGGCCATACGCAGTGTTATGAATTGTTTCAAACAACCAGAAAAATACAGAGACTATTTAATGCACACCTTTGCAGCCACGCTGAATTAAGACACGCTAGCATCTCGGCATCTGTACCAGCGGCGCTGAAGCTTTGCATTCTTTATTTTCATCAGCCTCGGAGTCAGTTTCCAGTCTCCTACATTTTCCCCGCCGCCGTGGGGTCCCGGGTGTCTGGGCCCCCACTACTGTCGCACTCGCACCGTGCAGTCGTTTCCGCAGGGACGCGGGCGGCCCTCACCCCACCATCACCGCCCCAAAGAAGGTCTTCCCTCTCCCGTAGTCCACCATGTCGGGGCGGCTGATGTTGACGTACACCCGCTCGCCCCTGCGGAGCCGCACCAGGCCGCCGAACCCCACGCTCGTGTACCACAGGGGCCCGTACCCTTGCCTCCCGGCGGGGTCCGGCACCGGGGTCACGGTCTCGGCGCCCTCGAGCAGCAGCTCGGCCGCGCCCGGCCCGTAGGCGCCCCCCGCCCGGTACAGCGAGCTGCGCAGCGTGACCGAGCGGCCCTGGGGGCCCCCGCCGGCAGGGGGCGCCCGGCCCCGGTAGCCGACGTGACAGTAGAGGTAATAGAGGCCGTCCTGCGGGAGCGCCAGCCCCTCTGCGTCCGAGAACCGCGTCCCGCTCCTCAGAAACGCCTCTTCTTTCGTCGCCTCCCAGCCTAGCCCCTGCCCCTTCATCCAAGCGCCTGCTGAGAAAGGGGCCGGGGGGCTCTTGGGGAATGCTCCCAGGGGGAGCGATCCTGGCTCGGGACCTCCGGGAGGGTGGCGGCCGTTAGCCCCCTGCAGGAACCGAGCCGGGCAGGGGGAGGGGTGACGGCGCTACCTCTGGGATGAGTAGGGTTGGGGGCTGAGGGCACCTGGATGTGGGGTGCAGAGCGCTGTGGTGGGGACCTCCAGGCTGGGTTTGCCTGCTCCGGAGGGAAGAAGAAGCTACAATGGGGGGACGAGCGGAAGGGCGGGCACTTTACGGGTGAGAGGTGGCGAAGCAGGTGGAAACTTAGCCCTGGAGTAACCGAGCCAAGGGACCCTGCGGGCGAGCCGCCCCGGCCCCCTGGATTACGTAAGCGCTTATTCAGGTCTGTGAGATCCTTACCTATGAGGTGGGCCGCGGGGAGCCTGGGACTGAGATCTGTTTCTGGCTCCTCCTCGGGCAGCTCCCGAAATCCTGAAAGGGGCAAAGAGTTCGTGATTGAGGGCAGGCTGCACCCGGGCATGCCCCGAAAGGACAAGGTGTCAATGCCCAAGGATGGGGAGCCTGCGTGCCTAAAGGAAGAGGGTATCTGGGACACCGACTGCAGCTGGGAGTCCCTGAGGGGCTGGAGCCGGGAGAGGAGATGGTCTGCTCTTACCGGGTCCTTGCTGGGGTCCTTGCTGGGGTCCTTGCTGGGGTCCTTGCTGGGCCTGTGCCCCGGGGTCAGCCGTCTCTGTTACCTGGTTGGGTGGGGTCACCGTGCCCAGAGTTCACATTCCGCTAATGTTAGCGCCACCCCTTCCAGAATGGACCCAAGTTCCAGGCCTGGGGTTTCTCCCCCAGCACCATCCCCAAAACACGTCTCCATAGAAGGGAAGGCAAGCAAGGCACAGGAGCTTTGGCAAAGAGACAGATGTGTCTTAGGAAGAGGAGACAGAAGGGGCTTGGAGACAACAGGACACAACATCACAGGAACATGGAAAGAGAGTCAGCAAAGAGACAAAACGTCCCCACCAGGGACAGCCGGGCCAGCTGAGACAGATGAGGCAAAAGACCACAGGCAAAGCCAGAGGGAGGTGAGCGTTGGCAAGACAAGCCCTCCGCCACAGCCTGCTGCAGCCACTCACCGGACCTCCCTGATCCTTGGGCACTAAGGCCAGCACGGCCAGGACAGTGATAGGTACCGCCAGCAACAGGGTCACCAGGGAAGTGGCTCCTGCCACAGCCAGCAGGAGGGAGCCCCTCCCTTGGGGCCTTCCACCCCTGCCCTCCAGTCCCAGTGCCCCCATTGAGACTCTGAACCAGGGCCTGGGCAGGGGGCTTTCATACCTCAGGGGTGGGGCCACCCAGTCCCTATAGACCCACACACCTGGCTGGGACTTTCCACACACCCCTGCTCCCCTCACCCAGCTTCCTGTTTACCGAGAGCTGGGGTGGGGCATCTGGATGCCTGGGTTCTCTGAACTGGGGACGGAGTTGGGGTAGAGAAACAGGCTGTCAGAGTAGAACTTCACAGAGCCTTAGAGCTCTGGCTCAGCAGGGAGGGAAACTGAGGCCCAGGGAGGGAAGGTAGCTTGCAGAAAACCGGGCAGCAAGGCTGTAGTGAGAGCACAGATCTCCAGGTTTCCAATGTGATCTGCATTTTTCTACACCCCAGAGGTAGGTACTAGAGGGAGAGCTGGTCCACATCTCTGAGGACAAGGACGGGGGTCTTGAGGAATGGATGGCTGGGTCCCTGAGAAGAACTGGTCCCCACCTCTTCCCATTTCTTGCTCACCTCTAGCCCCCGTGCTAGGTGAGAAAGGCAGAATTAAGCCTCAGCCTCACCACTGACTGTGGCTCGGCTCGCTGAGACAGGATGGACATGGAGCCTCCCTCTGTTGCCACTAAGAGTGAAGACGGGAGGGTGAGGCACACCCTACCCTCAAGGAGCTTCACAGACTGGAATGGGCCCCATCCACTAGTGAGTGCTTACTAACTGTTTAGGGATAAATGAATGAAAGGACAAATGAATGCAAGAGTAACTGAAACAAAGCCATGGGCACCAAATGAACGTAGAAGTGGGCAGCACAGGCGGAGTTGAGGGAAGAAAGACCAGGTCTAAGGAAGTTGGAGGTGACCCTGATGATCTCCCCTTCTTTTTTTTTCTTTTTTTGAGACACAGTCTCACTCTGTTGCCCAGGTTAGAGTGCCGTGGCGTCAGCCTAGCTCACAGCAACCTCAGACTCCTGGGTTCAAGCCATCCTCCTGCCTCAGCCTCCCAAGTAGCTGGGACTACAGGCATGCGCCACCATGCCCGGCTAGTTTTTTCTATATATTTTTAGTTGTCCAATTAA